ATCAGCTAGTGCTGCCGGCTTCTTGTGTGCGACAACACGGGGGATGATGCCATGGCACGGGCCATGATGGCTTGGACCAGGGCGGAGCAGATGGCTCAGGTCATGTACCAGGGGGGTCGAGTGTGACTCCGCTCAGACCTGTAGATGTGAGCACGATGCTTTCGCCGTTGTCTCCGCTTGGTGCAGAAGCTCCTACATCACCGGAGCACAGGGTGCAAAGTCAGGCTTGTGCTGCAGCTGCGGCTTCGACCCAGCAACGGCCTCCTCAGGTTATGCCCGCTGGACAGGCTGGGTGCTTCTACGACCAGTTGGGCCTGCACACAGCTGTCAATGCGACCACCAGAGGGGCACCGGAGCGAGAAGCAGACCTTCCTGGTCCAAAGCGCCATTGCGCAGCATCGCCATGTGGTGAACAAAGCAATGCCTCACCGGAAGCTACATCGACTCAAGCCCACGCGAAGAATCCAGCCGGCGACGTGTGGAAGCCCATCGGCTCTGGAATTCCGCTCCACAAGCTCGGTGCCTTTCCAATCGCAGAGGGCGAGTTGCAGATCTTTGTCAGGGTGGTCCCCGCCCCGCCACCCTTTTCGCACACCGGTGGCTTTCAGGACAGGCCGCAAAGCAGCCGACCCTCGCATCGACAACGCAAACCCGTGCCGACGGCGAGGGCTGTTGATCATTCGCAGCCTCCGCCTGAGCCGAAGTGCTAGGGTGCTGCTCGCAGCACAACCGCCAAGCATGTGTACAGACTCTCTGACTCAAGTTGCAGAGCACGAAGGTTTTCCAGCAACGAGTGTGTGCTTGCACAGGTTTTTGAACAAACTGCATGCTAAGGAGTCGCATGGATGCAACGAAAACGACCTGGCAGTTCAGAGGTAGAACTTGCAGCCACATCTGGCCGCTAGCAGCCATGTGCTCCCAGCTTCTGTCCCCCAGTACCGCCTGTCCGGCTGACTCATCGTACGAAGCCTTTCACATTGTGTGGCGAAACTGGGTTTCCTCTCAAACTGTGTTCCTCACCAAACCGAATTTGCCGTGGCACAGCTTGTCAGTACTTCTGAACGGGTATTTGTCCCATCGCCTTTGCAGGACGCGAAGAAGGACTTGAAGGAGTTGGCTGTCGACGAAGACAAGACCTTCGGGGAGGGCCCCTCTTCCTGCGGCAGACCGAAGCGAGGCCGCAGCAGCCAGGACCTGTCCGCACAGAAGCCCCGAAGGTTAGAGTTCAGTGCCAAGAAGTCCGGTGCCAGTCGCGGTGCAACCGACAGTCCGGGCCAGAAGTCCAGCGACGAAGGCTCCTCCGACGACGGAGGTTCGGACGCAGAGGATCTTGACATCTTCCACGGCAAGTATGCCACGGGGCGAGGATCTGCTCAGAAGGCGAGCAAGGAGCCTGGTGCGAGTGCTGCAGGAGAAGAACGGGCGAATGAAGAGTTCCCTCCCTCGGACATCGAGCCCGAGGTGCCGGATGAGGAAGCGCCGGGCAGTGGGGCTGAGGAGCCAGACGAGGAAATGGAGCCCTTCTCGGCTGTGCCTCTTTCCGTTCGCAAGCAGATCAAGACTTTGGAGCCCAAGCTCTTGGATGCTTTGCCTGCCAGCCTCCAGAAGCACTCCCGGTTGCATTACTCGGTGCTGCGATTTTGGCGACTGCAAATGTGATTGTCTGAATCATTAGTTTGAAGCCCAGGGACGATTTGGTTCATCTTATCGCGATCTTGATCGCAGAAGACATCCGCACGTTCCCAGACGCCGCGGATAGCATTGGCTGCATCGAAGGTGTTTATGCTGCAGTAGCCATGACAAAAAACTGTTTGTTCAGTGTCATTCCATGTCCTGTCCATGTTTGTTCTGAGGCGATATTGGAGAGGCTTTGGGTAAGACATCCAAAGAGCATTTTGCTCTGTTGACGATCAAGGGAAAGCGAGCACTTCGCAACTGGCCCAAGGCTTTGCAGGAGCCGGTTGGGTGTTACTGTCAAGGGTCCCCGGCCAGACAAAACACATTCCTCCCTGCAGGATTTGGCATTGCAAAGCAGCAAAAACCCCGAGCTTCCTGCTGACAGCAAGTGAAAGCTCTTGAAACTGGGACTTGAGTTCAGTTGCCGTCAAACATGCACGCTGCTTCCAATCGACAGCTTCACTGAGGAAGGGGCTCAGAATATGATACGCAGGGAGTCCGAGCGGTGACGATTCTCTGCCTCATCGATCTGAGAGTGCATCGGCTTGCGATCGTCAGACACCGTTTGGGACCAGATTTTGCTCGGTGCAGAAAACCGACGGTCGAATCTCTGGCTACTCAAGCGGTCACTTCGTGTCATGGCTGTTTTCCGCGGCTCC